TAGGGAAGCTCTAGTACCCCAAAAAACTTAAATTTTGTCCACTGGTGTTGAAATGAGTTACGAAAAATTGAGATAATCATACTTGCCACTGCCCTGTGTGGACCTCAGTCTAAATAATGCATCTAAATAGTTCCTTGGGCCTACCAATACGTTTGAAGAATGTTACATAATATTAATGCCTCGAAAAATCACGTCACCAGCTGTCGTCAGTTGTTCCTACAATTGTGGGACGCCTTTATGGCCTCCTTGATATTCATGGTTTTCTACTGCTCCGTGTCAGCGCTCTATTTTGAGGTTATGTTGCAAATATCTATTTGCATCAAATTGTCCATGCCCTTGATTTATATAGATGTGTTATATCAGCCTGATATTTCCTACAATTCAAAAAGGAAATATAGCCTCAGAATAAGAGAGCGCTGACGCTGACAGGGACTAGTAGAAATCTAGAAATACCCCATGCTTTCTGACGGAGAGAAAAGACCATGAAACTCAAGGAGGCCATAGAGGTGTCCCACAATTGTAGGGACAACTGACGATACGGCCCTTATCCTCTTCATAGCTAGGTAACTACCTGTTGGACTTTGAGAAAACTTTGACTCAAGGTCAGCATGCCAAGTTCAAAAAAACTTTGTAGGCGTTGCAGGTCGGTATATTGGCTGCTAAAAACAGAATGTTCTAAAGTTCCATTTTTCGAGTTTCTGTTTAGATTTTTATATTCATACACTTCCTGCCTCGGTAATTCTATTCGACATATTTTTCACATCATAGATTTCCCCGTTCATCTGCTTCTAGACCTTACAGAAATATACTGAGTGACATATAAATCCGAACACCCAGTTTAAATGGTTTTATTTTAATAAAAGTTGGTGAATGTATTTATCTTACTGTAAATAACAAGTGAAAAAATGTTCAGCCTTATAAGTTGGACATTCCGGTTTTTATACTGCTTTTTTTTAATTCTCTAACGCTTTAAAAATGAATATTTCAGCCGCAGTAAAGAATCAACGTTGGCGGATTTTGGTTCTTGACATCCTTTACGATCGGCTACGATGCCTAGAGTACGGAGACCTGTACGATTTCGTCAACTTAGTGAGTTTGATAGGGGCCGTATAGTGGAACTTCGGGAAGCTGGACTTTCTTTTCGGGCAATTGCAGTTAGAGTGCAAAGAAGTGTAGACACTGTGGTTAGGTGTTGTCAGGCATGGCTTCGAGAAGGCCGTACGCAAAGAGCAAGGGGCACTGGACGCCGCCGTGGAACAACATACCGTGAAGATCGCCGCCTAAGATTATTGGCCTTAAGGGACCGTTTCTCCACTACCAGATCCATTGCAAATGAATGGTTTGCAGAACACGGAAGACCTATTCGCATGCGAAGTGTTTACCGACGAATGAGAAGTTTTGGCTTGTTTTCATACCGGCCACACTGGGTCCTCCCTTTAACTCGAGAACACCGACGTAATCGCCTTGAGTGGTGCAGACAACGGTAACTCTGGGATCAGGAATGGAACAGTATTGTCTTTAGAGACGAATCTCGATTTTGTTTAGGCATGCACGATGGTCGTGCCAGGGTTAGAAGGCGACGTGGTGAAAGGAGGAATCCACAGTTTTTGTTGAAAGACATGTTCATCACACTGTTGGAGTTATGGTTTGGAGTGCTATAGCTTATGGTTCCAGGTCACCTTTAATCGTCATCAGAGGTAACATGAACGCGCAACGTTATATCCACGAAGTTCTAGAACCCCATCTTTTACCCTATCTTGACACCCTGGCAGATCCAACTTTCCAATAAGATGATGCCCGACCACATGTTGCAAGAGTCACAATAGACTTCTTTCAACATAATGATGTCACATTGTTACCATGGCCACCAAGATCTCCCGACTTATCCCCAATTGAGCACGTGTGGGATATGATGGGTAGAAGATTGCTCAATCTGCAACGTCCTCCTCAGACTCTAGAAGCACTTCGAGAGGAGTTGGTGGTTGCCTGGAATGAGATACCACAGGAGGACATTGACCACCTGATAGGTGACTCATGTTTTTGAATCGAACAGGGACAACTTCAAGCAGTGTTAACAAACAAAACCTGTAACAGGGCAGTATTTAGTAACTTTAACAGGTGATTTCTTACATTATTCTAAGCAAAAAAGTTAATTATAACCTATGTTCGAAAATCAACCGTTTCGGAGCAAAAAAATGCTGAACTTTTTAGACATAAAATAAATTCATTTTGTACCTTAATAATTTAAATTCATATGCCTAATAGCGTAAAACGTATCAATACATCTATTTATTAATTAACTGTCTCTAACAGAATAATTTTCTTGCTTATTAAATAAAATTTTCCGAAGAAAAACAGACAAACAAAATCCCTCACACAACTGGCAACGTCGTACTCTGCCTGCACTGCATGTATCATCGCGTGTTGTTATGATTACTAATTCATTTAACTGTAAGTTTATGTGATTTACGGGTGTTGTTTTTTTTTCTTTTTCCGTGCATGGCATCGTCTCAAATAAGTGACTGATAATCGTGGCAATTGGTGGTGTGTATCGCCACGTACCGGTAAGTACTGTCATTTTTTTCAAGTAAATGTTAGCCACAAAAAATTGCGTAAAAGCATTCAATAATTCAAGGCATATTTTCAACAAAAATATCATACAAACAAACAATTCGATGAATCAGTTGCGGTCGTCGTGCGCTCGTATCGCGATTGCGTTACAGCGTTGCCAAATGTTTGAGAAAATTTAATTATTTACGATTCACTTTCCTCGAAAACGATTGATTTTCGGGCATAAGTTATAATGAACTTTTTTGCTTAGAATAATGCAAGGAATCACCTATTAAAGTTACGAATATTATTTCCCTAATACCCCGTATAAGTACGTATCATGAGGTATGATAATAAGATGTCAAACATTGTTTTACACCAGATCATTGGTAAAATCTAAGAATTTTTTTCATGTCAAGCCCAAACAGTGCACATGGTTCTCACGAAACGTAAGCCTTCTTGATGCCAATGCACTACCTAGAAAATTGTACCAGAATTTGTTTCGAAGGCGTGGCAAGTCTAGAATCAATCTCCATGACTCCATTTTCCTTTATTTTGTTTCTGATGATCCTCAAATAATACGAAGATATTTTCTTATTTAAACGACTCCGCATCTCTTACGGTTTCCGGATATCCCAATGGAAGAAATCGGATTTTCACTGTTTTACAAGGATGATCATCTGCAGGTAGCCTCGGTAGATGGGTGGTTAGAGCGTCAGCTTAGTAACCCGGGACTCACGGGTTCGAATCCCCGCTTCGGAAATTATTTCCTTGCCATGGATGTTGTGCTGCCTATATCACGCACGTGGGTGCAATATTAACTGGTGCAACTCATCGCTAGAGCTGGTTTATTATATCAGTTACCACTAGATGGTTCGTGGAGTAGTACAGTGCTGGCGCTAAGGGCCAAAGGTAACCTAGTTGCTAGGCTGCTCCTTTCCAAGGGGGGTGAAACTACTATGGGCGAATGGGAAACAAGGCATTGTTGCTGGTATACAATATGACAACCATGTCGCGCCCTCAAAACATGTCGGCTTATTCGCAACTGACGTTGTCTGATTGGTCAGATTTAAACTTCCGGCGGGTTCGCGGGTTTCTTCCTGTGTTATGTGCTTGTGCTGAGCCCTCGTCCTGTGTTTTGCAAAAAAATTTGCAGCATGTCATTTGTAACGTAACATTTCACTTTACATCAATTAAGTCCCTATTATGTTATTTGAGAGATATGCCTTTTTTCAGTTGTGAAATATAAACATGTAAGTATACAAAACTGTAATATATTTGTAAATACTATAAGACAAACTCCGAATCAAAACTGTTTTTTTAAGGTGATCCAAAGCGATACCAGTCAGTACCCATTATAAGAAGTGCGGAGATTACTTGTGATCTAACCAGAAGGCACAACTATGAAGCATATTTGCAGAACATAACGTAAGTAAGTTTTTATATGACTCAATAACCAGTGATTTTTATCTAGCACGACTTTAAGAAGTTTTTAGGATTTATCCCCTCTGAAAAAATTGCTACCCCTGCTCGTCAAAAAATTATGGCGGCAGGTACAATTTCGCAAAAATTTATCTCTTGATGATGATCAGCACGCCTGATAAAAATTGCTGTAGGTACCCATGGACAATAATATTATTGTTCTAATAAAAAACATGTGAATTGTAGTAACATGTCAAGACAATTCAATGTTTCCCTAATTTTTGATTTATGCAGGTGCCAACAAAGTCTGGGGATTAAAAACATCTGGACCATAATAATGTTAATACTGATTTGTTTGTACAAAAATGTATGAGATTTATATAATAAATATATATTTAGGTATTTGTACTATATGTTTTTCTTCTGAACCCTTCCAGATTAGTTAGTAGATATGATTTATCTTATAACAGCTTGTGTTATTGACGTTGCTATTTTAACATACAAAAAAGCAATTATCCGTCAAGATAGCGCAAAATTTTAATAACACATGCTGTTATAAGATCTCTCATATCCCATCAAATTTCTGTATATAAAAGTATAGCAATTTCAGATTTATATGTAGAGCTGGCAACGCTGCGAGATATTAATGCACAATCTGGCAAACATGTCGCACCCTCAAAAAATGGCCGCTGATAACCACTCAAATCACCGTGTTGCCATTGAATAGCATGGAATTAAACCTTCTTCAGTGTATACGTTCTGTGTCCTTCCCACTACTACTACTAAATGCTCATGTGCTACTCACCTCTTTTACTAGCCGCAGAAATAGGTCCGTTGGCGCCGCCAGATGTCGTTCCAGCCCAGGCGGATGGTGGAGCTTGTAGCAACAGCAAGAAGACCAGCAGCTGCAGGAGACAGCAACCGCAGCACGGCGTGTAGAGGAGCCTGCTGGCCAGCGAGCCACCGTCACCAGCCATGTGGCTGCGCGAGGCTTCATCTTCTCCAACCCGACATCGTGCGTGTCATACGGCGCCGGCGCGGCAGGACAACGTCGTCGCTATCGTTCTCTTTGTCTTTTGGGTCGTCCTTCCCTTTCCGCCCACTGCCTCTGTCCAATGACGTCGGTCGGTGCTACTACCGACGTACAGTGGTACCCGGATATTGGAAACCTGAGACAAAAAGAATAATCGTTACAAACCGACGAATTTAAATAGGTTAGAACAGTGATTCCGAGACTGTGTTGCTGACATAAGGGCGCCGTGGAATATTCAATAAAATAATTCGTCAATTTTCTTGAAATCTCCAATTCTCGAATTTTTACAATCGTGTATGGAGAAATTCAAAATTTAAGAATAAAATCTGATGTATTAAGGGCATTGCGGGAATAAACCCGATTATTTAGGGTGCCGCAACCCGAAAAAGGTTGGGTTAGAAGAAGCCAAGCCTATATACTTACATGGCAGTGTATGATCAAACAACACGTGAACTCGTGGTGTGTGGTCGCTCTTGGCGTGTGTGTGAATTTATTCCAGAGTTGAATGTTAAAAAATTAGGAAAAGTATCTACATACGGTTGGTTAACAGTTATAAATCGTATGTGATAAGTAGCTGCATTTTTTTCTGATTTTTTGAGTGATTTCTCGACACGGTCGCTGCAGGAATGCTGCAGGAATTTGCTAGCTGTACAGCTGGAATGTGGAAACGTTGCCGCTCTTCCTAGAATATCCTCAACGATATGAGTAGCGCGGGTGGTGAATCGAAAAGGACGACTTCGCGTTCAGTGAATTCGGCTTGTGAGTGCGCCAGTTTTGCTCAAATTCTTTCCGATGTTAAGAAGAAGCTAGATCAGTGCTACAAGATCATCAATGGTCAGAACGCAAAAATTGAGGAGCTCTCAGTAACTGTATTGGAACTCAGCAAGAAACTGGACGACAGAGATGGGATTGCAAAAGCTTCTTGTCCGGTAAATGCAACTGTATCTTACAGTGACATAGTGAAAGCTGCTCCACCAAAAGAGCATGTACTATTGGTGAAACCTGCAAACGATGCGGAGGGTGATTCACTGAAACAGAAGCTTCTTACTAAAATAAATCCTGAATATCTACAGGTTGGTTTGCAGATCCATAAGGTAGGCAGTAACGGTGATATTGTTTTAAAATGTGACAATCAGAAATCATTGGAAAAAGTGAAAGCATCAATAGAATCCCAGATGGCTGGCAATTGTTCTGTTATGTTACCCAAAATGCGGAATCCACGTATAAAAGTTACAGGTGCTAGCAGTGAATTGTTCGAAACTGATAACAATGTCCTAAAAAGTAAAATTATCAATCAGAATAGTGGTTTGTTAAGCCATCAAGAACATACCTTCAATATTGTTTTTAAGTATCCTATAAAAAATGGAAAGTTTGATTTTATTGCAGATGTAGATCCGTTGTCTTATCATTCGATTATTAAAGAGGGTAAATTAAATATTGGGTGGAACAGGTGTCATGCGTATGAGCATATATCAGTAGTTCGTTGCTATAAGTGCTGTGAATATGGGCATATTCAAACAAGTTGTAGAAATCAAACAGTCTGTCCTCTTTGCTCTGGTAGCCATGATATGAAGCATTGCAAAAACAATTCACGACGTTGCATTAATTGTGCAAATGCCAGTAATAAACAGAATAAAAGCCTTGATGTGTATCATGCTGTGTGGGATAGCAAATGTATATGCCTACAAAAAACTCAGGACTTTATTCGAAGTAAAACCAACTACTCCATATAGTTTTTTGCTCTTGTGTCTTGGTTATCCGGTTTTATTTTTTATTATTTTTTTTACATCTTTTAATCCACACAACAAATACATTTTTTCTATCCTCTTTTGTTATTTTCTTCTGTGTCTGATTTTATTACTTTTTTCTATTTGGAAATTAGTTATTATACTGTGATTTACTTTACATGTCTGTTTTATCTGATTTCGACATTATCGAGAACGAGGAGCATAATTTAATGATAGCATGCCTAAATGTGAGATCATTAACTAGTTCACTTTGTGATCTCAAAGAATATATACTATCACAAAATTTTGATGTCATCGGCTTAACTGAAACGTGGCTGAAGCCAAGTATTATTGATTCAAGTGTTCATATTCCAGGTTATCAGCTATTCAGATCTGATAGGCAAGACAGGCGAGGTGGGGGAGTTGCTTTGTACGTTAGGTTAGGACTTAGGTGCTCTTTTCTACAAGTGTCTCAGAATGATGGTTTTGAACAACTCTGGATCAAGATCAAGGTTAATAAAAAAACAATCAATGTTGGAGTTATATATAAGCCTCCTGATGTTCACTACAACTCGCTGACATCGCTAGAAGAGATGCTAGCATCTCTTCTTCCTACATCCGAGGATATTATTGGCATGGGTGATTTGAATATCAATTTCCATAATACTAATAGCCCAGATTTTAAATTCGTATCAACATTTATCCAGGATCTTAATTTCAAACAAATTGTGAACGAAAAGACAAGAGTAACTAACAATAGTGGCAGCCTTATAGATGTTGTTTTTGTGAACAGAGAACTAAGCATTACTAAAACAGGTCTCGTCTGTCTCCCCACCATTTCTGACCACAGTTTGGTATATTTCTGCATTGAATGTAAAAAAAATGTTAGGTGTCCGAAATATGTACTTACTAGAGACATAAGAAACATCGATCACTCCTTATTAAAAGAAGTTGCATCGTCTCTCTATTGGTTAGATGTAGTCCATTTAGAAAGCATTGAAGACAAGTTGCGATATTTTTATGACTTGGTTGAAAAGGTACTCAACGTTTGTGCTCCTTTCAAAACCAAAAAGATTACCAAAGCACGGTATCCTTGGATTACTACTAATATCAAATTTATGATGCGACTGCGAAATAAGGCTTATTCTCAATATATTAAAGCAGTAAAGAACAAGTATCCCAGTGAAATAATAGCTTCAAAATGGATATATTATAAACAGCTTAGAAATCTTGTCACAGCCTCTTTCAGGAGGGAAAAGAAAGCTTGCATTGAATATAAACTGAGACAAAGCAACAATAGTCGAGAATGGTGGAATGCTATCAAAAACATTGGCGTTCATGGTTCTAGAAATGATAACCGGTGTTCAATACAGCCTGACATGCTTAATGATTATTTCATAGACTCTATTCCCGTCAATAAGGTTAATAACTACTTACGGACATTCTATAACACAAATCATCTTTCCCCTGCAGTTCAACCGTTTAGCTTTAAACTTGTTACTAAAGAAAGGGTTTTGGATATTTTTTCTAAAATTAAGTCATGTGCAAAGGGTCTGGATGGCCTAAACTTAGATCTTTTGATTCCCCTAATTCCATACTGTATCGATGCATTAACACACATTATAAATTTTTCACTAGAAAAAGGTGTCGTGCCGAGCCTATGGAAAGCCGCTATGGTTAGACCTCTTGCAAAAATTGATGATCCGATAGCACCTGGTGATTTCAGGCCTATTAGTATACTGCCATTGCTATCTAAAATTCTGGAAAGAATTGTCTATGAGCAAATACTAGGACACATAAATAAAAACAGTTTGATTCCAAATGTTCAGTCGGGGTTTCGGAAAGGTCACAGTACGGTTACCACTTTGATAAACATATGTGATGACTATATCAGAGCTATGGATAAATCTTGTGTCACAACGTCAATTCTAGTTGATCTCAGCAAAGCTTTCGATTCTATCAATCATGAATTGCTTCTTGGTAAGCTGCATTATCTTGGATTTTCTGATAGTACTGTTACGTGGTTTAGGAGTTACTTGCATGAGCGGTCACAGCTAGTCAATGTAGGCGGCTGTATGTCCGATAAGCGTGCGATTTTGAAGGGGGTACCGCAGGGCTCCATACTTGGCCCAATTTTGTTTACTTTGTATACGTTCGATCTAAGTCGTGACATTAAATATTGTTCTATTCAGTCTTACGCTGACGATACCCAACTGTATTTGTCTTACCGTCCTTTCGATTTCCTGGAGGCAAACAGGAGAATGTCTTGTGATCTAGATCGTGTTGCAAAGTGGTATAACGATCACGGGTTACTTATCAATTCAAACAAATCTGCTGTCATAACTATTAAGTCCATACAAAGTAATTTCGATAGTAACTTGATAAAATTACACCTGGAAGGTGGAGACTTGCCTCATATAAAATCCGTGAAAAATTTAGGAGTAATAGTGGATGAACATCTCACGTTTCACGATCACGTTTCCAGGGTTGTGCAAAATTCATATGCTAAGCTCAAGACAATTTACAGTTATAAACATGTATTATCTAGTCAAACCAAGATCAAGCTTTGTAACTCTTTGATTCTCAGCAAAGTCGAATACGCTGATGCGGTGTATGGTCCATGCCTGACACAGTCGGAAGCTTATAGGATACAAAAAGTGCAAAATAGTTGTATCAGGTATTCATTAGGTGTTCCGAGAAGGGAACACATTACTAGATACATTAAGGATGTCAAGTGGCTCACGATGCGTCAGAGATGGATTGTACACTTGTTGGTCATAGTACAGACAGTCCTATTAACCAAATATCCAGCATATCTGAGCAGCAAACTCTCATTTAGAAGTCAGCATCACTCGGCGAACTTACGCTTTGTAGGTTATACCCTCGATATGCCCCCCCATAAATCAACACAATTCACAAAGTGCTTCTCATACATGGCGCCTTCCCTTTATAACTGTCTATCATCAGATCTGAAAAGTTTGAGTAACAATAATTTTAAAGTTAAAATAAAGCAATTTGTTCTCGATAATACCTAATTCTATACTAAGCTTTCATCTTGTAACTGCTGTGATTCTACATTAAGTGTCTGGTTGTGGTCTTTTTTTTTCATTATTTCTGTTTCAGTGAGTGTGCGAGTGAATGTGATTTAAATCTGTCTTCACATTTTACACACTATTATGTTGTATTTGTCACTTTTCAGTACTATATGTCTTGATCATTATTTTTTTGTATCTGTGATTTTTTTTTATGTTTGTTAAACTTATGTAGCCCTGGTTGGTACCAAAAGCAGCTATTAGCTGATACACCCGCCAGGTAAAATAAAGGCATATTATTATTATTATTATTATTATTATTATAAAACGTAGTTTTAGCAAACTTCTGAGTAGATTTTCCAGTGACTTTCTAGGTC